ATTTTCTTCCAAGTCTGTACTGTTCGTAGTCATGTGCATACTTTCGCCACATGGCACACAGTTATATACTGCGTCTATTTTGTTAATGGTTTTGAGTATGTTTTGCATCTTTTGTTATTTTCCATTTTAGAACTCATTTATTTGGGGCTGTTCGAATGGGTTTTTTTGGGGATATGTATTGTTGTGATTTACTATCGTGCTACCAGCTGGCAGCGGTATTTAGATGAGAAGTCATCTCTCGCCGTGGAACCCGTTAGGAGTTCCGAGAGCTTGAGATGACTTAAAGATTGAATTGATGACTTAAAGATTGACTTAAAAGTAAAATTGATACCATCCAAATTCGTTTTCAGATTATGAGAAGCTAGGAGTTGAGGGAAAGGGTTGATCCATCTTCGATGGAGATGATGATTTTTATCTACTGAACAAAAACAATAGTAATATAGTAAATAAGTAATGGCCCTGATTTTAGGAGTGATCGCGTGGTCTGGGGATACTGAGACCCAGCCTTGAGCTCACTGTTTTGCATATAATTAAGTTAATCAGAGCGTTCTGATCGAAGCCGGAAACAGTAACGTTTTTTTTGTCGACCCGATGTTAGAAAGACCACCAAAAGAACTGGCTTTGGCAGAGACGGTGAAAAGCATGTGGAGCTGTGATTAGACGCTAGCCAGTCGTTTTTGAACCTATTTTTTTCCGTCGGTATGTACTTCCGGGCGAATGTTACAAAACCCAAAACCAGTTGAAGAACAAGATTTTAAGCCACAACGAATAAAAATAAAAAGATTTTTTTGATTAAAAGTAAATTTTAAACAACGAGTAAAATTTAAAATTTACTTTGTATCAAAAATCTTTTTATTTTTACTCGTTGTGGCTTAAAATCTTGTTCTTTCACTGGTTTTTGGTTTAGCGTATCTTGCAATGCACGGCAGCGTGCCATTACAGCGTGGCGTTACTTGCATCAGTTTCCTGGACGTTGAGTTGTCTCGATAAGATGCTGTCTTCCATGAATGCCGATTATTTTGAGTTATTCAAATGTTTTGTCATTTAAGGTTCTCACTTCTGATTACAATAAAATTATTGTGTTTCGTAAGCTATCGGCTTTTGATTTTTACTTATTTCGCATATATGAATTGTTCTTATTTCTATCTCTCTCAGGTTACTTGTGTAGTATATCCCCATTATTGTTGATTTTTATCTGTTAGCCAAGTTTTGATTGACAAATCTGGTTTTGTTTTGGTTTCCCTGTATTTGGTAAAAAAAAGAATAGTCTTGTTTTAAGATAACGATTCTTTTTAGTGCTTCTCTTTTTCCCCGGGATTATGACACCTGCGAGGTGGGGTATTCACAAGTACCAAAATGATAAATCAGTTCCATTTGTACCATCAATTGCGTTAGTACCAAAATTATTCAATTTGCCTAAGACTATTAAGCCGACTACTTTAAGCTCTTGGTTTAAGGTCGCCGGTGGGCGCGCGTCGCCGCTTCGCGGCGATAACCGGCTCTAATTTTCGTATAGAGTCCTACCCTCTGTTGGCAAGCTCGCAACACGTTGGCGCGAATGCGGCGGTCACTATTCTGCTGTTTAGTTTTCTTCTGTTTGAACAGTAGAAAATTAATGTAATAATTCGTTGGCTCATAATTCGACCAATTAGAAATCGAGTTGAATAATTTTGGTACAAATGGGACCGATTTTTCATTTTGGTACAAATGACCGTTGGTACAGATGGGACGTCACCACCTGCGAAAGCAAGTGTCTTGTAATAGGGATTTAAACTTCGTTTTTCCCGTGAACAACTTCTCTGACATCTCAAAATGATTTTGAAATTACGTAATTGATTAACCTTAGCAACAGCGAGACTGCTTCCCACTTGGCAATCACGGTTTTCTGAATAAGCTAAGTCCGGGTTTCAAGTCCCGTTCAGACCTTGTTTTTTTTAGTATGTATGAAATTATAAGGTTTGCGGGAAAATTTGGATTGTCGGCCTTTGTTTTGTCTGCTTATGTAATGTCGACTTAGTTGGCAAAGTGTGGATTATTTTTGAGTGGCCAGCAAGTGTCGTATATTCAAGTTTTTCTTCTCTTTTTTTCTTTTTACTTATTATTTTTTTTTGATATAATCAGAAGGTCGTAAGTATCATTTTAACCGAGGCTTCAGTCAGGAGTCCCTTCATCACATCATCCAGTCAAACTCTTCGGAATTTTCTAGATAAGGAAATGATAATGATAAAAAGGAGATGATTAAGGTTGATGTGTTTAAAATTAAACTCGATACGGGTTACGTTTCTTCAATAAGAACACGCAACTCGTTTTCAGATGGTTTTTTTTTTCAGCTGGTTTTTGGGCGTATTACATTCAAGTGTTTCGGGCGTTTACTGTAAATAAAAAAATTGATAGCACTGACTTCGGATACATTTCTATTAAATTCGCTATTTTTCACTACTATGTTTCTATTTGTTTTTGCTTAAAAGCTTCATTCGGCCTTAATGTTTTTGGCTTATGTTTTATCGTCTTAGTATCTTAGTTTGTGTCGTTTCAAGAGCAAAGAATGATTGGTTAAAAAAATTAGTTGGTTTGTTTGCAAAAGCTTAAAGTTTTAAAACTTAATTACTCGTTTTTGTCATGATTTTTGGTAACATTTTTTGTCAACATTTTTTAACTGAAATTTTTGATAATTTTCGATTTAATGAGCGGCTTATAGCGGCAGTTTTTGGTTCAATGAGCGTATTGTCGGCTTCGTGCCTGCTCGTTGAAAAAGTAGACTTATTTAGTGCTGTTTGGCGTGCTTCTTGACTATTTTCCTCTTTTTTTTTCAATTTCCAAATAGAATTTTGTGTTTTCCGTCTCATTTTCGTTTAGCCAGCTTGCAATGCTGTGCTTATCTTGTATCGCAAATGAGGCGAAGCTTTGCTTCTCCGTGTTGTTTGTTTCTGTGTTGAGAAATTTAATAGCTTGTAGTATCTCCCCTTTATTGGTGACTGGTGTTCAGAAAATGGACTGGCATAGCGTAGTTTTGAAGAAACTAAACGGAGGAGGTCGGGGTTTGCATACAATTCTTATAATTTTTCAAAGCCTATTTATTGTTCCGACCTTTTAAAATGGGGAGAGGAACTTTGTAATCGGGTGTGTTTTAGTTTTTTTTGTTTTCTACGCAAAATCAGGTTCCAGAAATAATCATCGGAATAGGTCGAGTGATATATCATATTAAGCCCTTTCAATCGTGATTCGAAATTTTAAATTTTTTTCTCAGTGTCGAGAAAAACCGGTTCGAGGTTTTTAATTTTGGTCTAGTTTCGAGCTAAAAAGGTGATGGTATGTTGGCTTAGAACAGTTTATTTAGGCTTAATTTAAGCCGTGAAACTTAGTGTTACTCAAGTAAAGGTAATTTTTGGAGTTTCTTAGCGCAATTTTGGAAATCAGAAATTTGAAAGTTCAAAAAAATTTGGAAACAAATTCGAAAAAAATTTGAATTTTTTTTCGGAAATTTTTTTTTTTAAATTTTTTTGTTTTTCTAGTAATTTTTTTCAAAAACTGTTTTCCTATTGACCTATTTTAATATGGCTCTCAAATAGCCTAAGTTCTATTTTTTTTCGTTCAGATCTTTTAGAAGAAGAAGAAGGAACACTTCAATTACTGCATGAAAGTCTAAGCATCAATGCAGTAAAGTGTAATAGAGATTAGTTCAAATAGAATAGTATATAGTGAAATTAAATAGACAAATAATTAAAGCCCGAAAAAATTACTGCTGGAATAAAACATCAGATTAAGACTTAACAAGTATTTTAGAAATGTGCAAAAGTTGAAATGAATTCTATCTTAAAAACATCGATAAAATAAACTGGTTTTTAAAAAAAAAACGGAACTCACGCCATATATTTATGTGGGTACAAACTGGATTAGATTGAATTTCACTAGTGTTGAACTCATTCATTTTTTTCTTAAACGTTGAAGTAAAAGTTGGGCATCTTGCTGAAGAGCATAGGATAATAATTTTAACAGCTTTGAAATTATGTTTTGTGCGTCTGCATGTTGATATAATTGAAACCATGGAAGAACGGATAGAGTTTGGCAAAACTTCACTTTTCGGTAATTATTTTTATTGAATGCATGTTCTTTTCACATTTTCTGTTTGTCAAATAAGTGAAGCAAAATGATGTTTTGTAGGTCGTATCAGAGCAAAATTCATTTCCGTGCGGTTAAAATCAATTAGATAATCAATATTGGTTTTTGCCGAAGCACTGGCTCGTGTTTCATCACTTGGACAAAAAAACCTCCAATCCATATGAAATGATGATGGATTCCAACTTTCTCTCTTATTTGTTCAATTATTTTATTTTATAATCAACCATTAAAAGTATTTAGTTAGAGACAGAAAGTTCATTATCAATGTTCCAAGTAAGATGTTCAAGAAACTCAATAAAATTCGCTCTGCCTTAGTTATAACATAAGTTTATTAACATTCTTTCCTTACTGGCACGGTTAAAATTTGATTTGCATTCAATCCACAGACGCATATTTTTCGATATTAAACAAGTTTAAATCGTCTATCAATTTTGGGGACAATTTAACTGGTATATAATAAAATGTCACCACTTTTTTCCATCACCGTCATATTTCTGTCATATCTAAACATAACATGTGTATGAGGTTCAAGATTCCATAAGTTGACATCATCTTCTTTCTTAATCCACGCTTCTGAAATCCCCAAAACGTTTTTTTTTCACCTATGTAGCACAAAATTTTCCGACCAGTCGTGCACAGTAACCGGTTCTTAAGCCACGCTTCTGAAATCCCCTAAACTGTTTTTTTTCACCTATCTAGCACAAAATTTTCCGACCAGTCGTGCACATTAATCGGCTATCCTATTTTGTGTTTTCTTGCTTTTCAAAGCTCCCTCTGGCCATTTTTTGGTTGTTGTTGCGAAGTGCACCATTTGCTCTGAGTGAAGTTATAAGTATTAGGTATATGTGCTATGTTGTGAGTGTAATCTGGGAGTGTAGGATTGCTTGATTTCAGTTGCATGATAGTACTAGAACTCGACACGATAGCTTCAAAAGTGGCGTTTGACTTATATGATTGCCATCGGATGGCAAGCTTGTCAAATCCCAAAATGATTTCAAATATGGGATCTGAAAATGTTAACACAGACTTCGCAAACAGTCTTCAGTTTCACAACATTTTACATCCGCACTTAAATTCAAATACAATTGCGGCACCTAACTCACTTCGAAACCACATTCAAGTTCCGTATTCAAATCAGAGCAACATTAAACAAGAGGCGCATGGACAAAATCATGCACAAGCAGATCCTTACCAGAAAAACTTTTCAGCCGAAAAAGAGCTTTCCTATACCTGCGATAAAGTAATGACTTCTGAGATAATGCTCAATTTCTTACAGCACAAGACTTATAACAGTGTTTCTGTGAATGCTCCACGAGTTGCTCAGAAATCTTACGGAAGTGAAAAGCGGTTTCTTTGTCCGCCCCCTGCTATAGTGTATGACCTAAAGGAGTACTCGAGGATTCGAAACAAAGAAAGAACTGACTCTGAAAACACAGAAGAGCAATCAGATGGCAATAAAATTTTAGGAGCAGTATTCATAAAGCAGTTACCTCAAAATACGATACCAGTTCAATCTACTTCTCTGGCTGATGGGCAGACTCTTAAGAACCTGTATGTCTCAGATTCAGACCATGTGAAAGATTTCAAAGTGCAGTTAAAATTGGTCTATAACCAAATACACGATCTTGGATCATACTTCAGTACCGATATAAAAGTCATTTCGAAGCCATCAAAAAAGAAACAAACTCAAAAGTCTAATGATCTATGCATTGAATCTGGATCTAAAATAGCACTTTTCAACAGATTAAGATCGCAGAATGTGAACACACGATACTTGGTGGCTGACCAGCAACAAATGAACGTGAAAGCGAGTTCCAAAATGTGGGGAATTTTCTATATTCATCTGGTAGATGATGAAGAAGACGAGGGCGATGAATTCTGCAGTCTACCGGGCAATATCCAGTACGGATCTCACGTCAAGCTAGTGTGTGCTGAAAACGGAATGGCGCTTCCCAGATTGGTGATCCGCAAAGTTGATAAACAAAGCGCGTTTTTGGATTGCGTAGAAGTTGTATCACAGCTACACAAGTGTGCATTTAGTTTTGCTACTAATTTCTACCTCAGTTTAAGTCATGATCAGATAATAAGAAGCGAAGCTACCAAAACGGGCGATCAGTATATTGACCTGCTTACAGACAATGCAATTTGGACAATCATAAGTGCAGATTCGAACGAAGTTCGGTTCCACGAAGCCTTAGGACCAACGCCGTATCCGATTTCTCCTGCGCCTCAGATTCATGATTGGGAGATTGCCAGATGTGGCCTTGCTAATGACGACGATGACAGTTATAGACTGATTCTGAAAGGCGAAAGCTTTCATCACCAGATGTCAATTTGGTTCAACTCTGTGCCTTCTAGAAGTGTCTTGGTTTCGGCGAATCATATCGAGTGCATCATCCCTCCGATATCAGACTTCACATCCAATAATAACTTTGTGGACGGCAAATATCTAACGGTAGAGATTTTCATAGTGAGAAATGATGGCGTGATTTTTCACACCGGAAAAAGTTTCACGTACAATCCGTCGGACCATTGCTACGCAGACGGAGTTCTTCACCCTTTGCCTTTCAAGACTTTCGACAACGATGACTGAACTCAAAACTAGTATTTAGAAACTTAATACTTTAAATTGCAATCTATTTATTTTGCTATCACTCGAAGCTACTTTCAAAACAAATGGATTATTTTCAATATGTGTCATTTTGCAGATTACGTATCAAATGGCTTAATTTCAAAATTGCATAAAAAATGAAGATGCTTCCAAATGGCGTAAATTTTATGCATTAAATGCAAGTATAAGTTTTTTGAAAGAAACTTTGTTACTAAGATCTTAAAAAGGCTGTAATTGTCAATTCAGTTGTTGACTGAAAAATAATCTGACAAATGGCTTTCAGAATTCAACTTTAAATTATATTTTCTGTGTTGAAAAGTTTCTTGTGATCAATTTTTCTAGCAAAAATGCCAGCCAATATTTATTTGTATACAGTTCCAGACTCTGTTTCAAGTTTTCTATCTATTATTGCCATTTGGGAAAAATTTCATGTTAGGCCATCTTTGGGAGTTATGCCATCTGTGAAGCCACTTTGTTTGTATGAGATCTATATTGCAGTTACTGTTTTAATCGACTGCTAAGGAAAAAATGAAAAGACTTTTTTGCTTATACTGATTTCATATGAAGTTTATCATAAGATGAGTCATTGTTCTCCGTCGCATCTTCGCTACATCAATTGATTTCCGAGTTAGTTCAGATTCAAAGTTTCTTCTATAATTATTCTTTGAGATCTAGACTATGGCTAGCCCTCGAAATCTTTAATATTTAAATTCGTAGGTTAACGCATCAGATATTTTATACATTTCGTAGTTTGATGTCTTAATTTATTGCAAATCTATTTGAGCAATTGATTTGATCGACTTAAAGCTACAACGCCTTTGAGTTTCATTGAAGTATCCTTCGTTGCATTGATTTGTGACCTTAATATTTGCAGAGATAAATTTAGCCTTTCAGTATTTCTTTTCACGAACTTCAATGGGGGCCCCGTCTTTGTATATGGTAATGTTTCCCACCTCAAATACCCAAATTGTTTATTCAGTTTAGTACCTGAAAGTTACTGAGAAAATGAGATCAAATGTGTGATTGTTTAACTATGTTTCTACAAAATTTAAATCCGGAAAAGTTTGATCTACGAAAAAAAATATCATGCGTTTAGAAATTCAGAAAGTTTTTCAGCAAAACTCAGAAAATATCAATTTATTTAAAATTAATAAATGATATTATCATATTGCTCTTCTGGTGTTGCTATCAAAATTAAATTATCAAGAATTTTTTTGGTGAAAAAAAGCGGTATACAGCATTGAAATAACCTTAACCGTTGAAATGAGCAAGTCTACTGCGACCTCTGATCACATTCTACGACCTTAAAATTTGCTGTCAGAATGGTCGAATTGTTGTGTAAATTGGCTTCTGGCTCATTATTTTCATTCTAACACTGCTACGCTTTTGCACATGTATTTGACGAATGTATTCACAAAAAACAAAGAAAGGAAAATCATTGAGCGTTTTCCGACCTGTAAAAGACAGAAACTTTGTCTTCTTTTTTACTTTTTTCCTCGCCAAATCAGGTACATCCGGGTATTTGAAACGACTTAAAGTTATTTCGACTCCAAAAAGACTTTTCAATGTGGAGAAAAATCTGTGGTATGTTATGCCTAATTACACTAGCCAGCGTAGTGTATTAGTTCGATCCTTCTTTCAGCCAACAAGCTAATTCGTGAATAAAAATGTGCTCGGCTGTTTTTCCTAACCCCCCCCCCCCCCACCTCCCACGAGCATCAATTTTATGGTGTATTGATTGGTTAATTGGTCTTATAAGGTTAATTAATGGTCTTATTAATCTGTCTGTGTGTCACTTTGAATAGCAATCGAATTTTGTTCACATCAGTTTGTACTGGGGAATTTTGCAGGTGGGGAAAAGAAGACCCAATTGCTCATTTGTGGGCACTATCGAGTCTGGTAAAAGGTCCATAAAATAACTTTTTTTTTGGTAAAAGGTCGGTCCCCGTCTACACGGTACTATTTTTAGCTTGCCAATTGTTTTCAGAGGCTAAAATGGCTGAATCGAATTGTATGACGTGTGAACAAACTCTTCCGAACATAAAACTGTATCGTTGCCAGACTTGTACAGAAAAACAAGACGAAGCTTCTAACCTCGAATTTCTCTGTGAAGGGTGCTTATTTCCTCACATTCGAAAAGAACATTTGGTACTAGATTCAAAAGGAGACGAACCACTGATTTGTTCCAAACACAATATGATATGCTTAGAGTTTTGCAAAGATTGTGATACTCCGTTTTGTTGCAAATGTTTTGGAAATCACGTCAACCACGAAGTTCAATGCTTGGACACAAAACTTTCGGATATCAAAAAAAAGATGTTCGAATTACTAACAGATTTAGAGATGAAGGAGAAGCCTCTGAGAAGTAAACAGAAAGCTTTATCGGAAACTGTCTGCAAGAATGACGCAGATGCAAAATTGGTGTGCGATTTTATTCGAAGTGAGTGTAAAAAATTGGAAGAAGGTCTTGTGATGGATGTGGAAAAGCATGCAAAGGTGAAAGTTGAGCATGAAAAAACTGTTTTCAAATCGTGTGAAGAAATATGTAACATGCAGGCGTGCATACGGAATGCGCTGAGTCAATCGAATCCGAAACTTATCCAAAATTACCCATCTGCTTACAACAAGATCAAAATGTACGAGCTTGATTATAATAACACTATGCTGGTTGAAGAGCAAGCTATTTCTTTTCCTCTACAAGAGATGTTAAGTCTGAAATTTGAGGAGCTAAGAAAAAGCGTGAAAAATGTGATGAGAACTGTTCAAAAAAATGAAACAGATGATATTGTTGTGGCAATGAACGGTTTTGTTTATCGTGTTTGCAGTACTGATTCTGGTGAAATTGAAGTTTCTAGTTTCATGGCAAGCGAGCAATCTAAACGCGTAAAAGGGCAAAAAAATTCTGTCCACTTTAAAACTCACCGCACATTTAAGACGAGCCAAAATGGTACTTTGACTAACATTTTTCCGATAGAAGACAATTTGGTTGTACTCTTCAGTGACGAAACAGCAAAACTTTTCTGTAGTGATTCTTCTCTGGTAAGCCCTGTTAGATACCCAGATTGCAAACATTTTCTATGGCCATACTCGAATGATGAGCTGGAGACTATAATAGACTGGTGCTTTTGGAATCCTCAAAAAAATCGAGTTTGCTTTTCGCACGAAGAAGACTTGGGTTTCAACTGCACAGAGATGCCAAAAGTTCGTATGAGCAGTAGTTGCTGGTATATTTTGTGCTTCATTGAGGAGACTGAAAAACGGGTTGTTCACGTGGACTTGGATGAAGACTCAATAATCGAAATCGGACAAGAAGTGCACAAGTTGCCTTCCATTGATTCTATTTCGTGTCCTGGTTTCAATGAGATTATGTTTTGGTCAGTTTTCTCGAAATCGTTATCTATGTTACGGAGGGAGCAGGGCGAAACCGTGTTTTATCTGCTCCGCCAAGTTTCTTGGCATAATGAATTGGATTTATTTAAATGCTCATGGTCACTCCCAGTGGAAGGTAAACGCAAGATCGAATACTCTTTTTTGCCCGCAATTAAAGAACTGAATGGAGAAAATAAACTAACCGAGCAGAAGTATGTTTTTGCTGCCTGGGATCAATATAGACCGGGTCTTCAAAAACTGATTGATGAAACGACTCAGCCTCCTAATACTAAACCTTAAAATATGGTTCTGCTCTGAGCTCACGCTGCTATAGTGATATGAGTTGCTTTTTTTTACGTACAAAAATTCTATATATGGTTGATGTACTTAAATTCAAGCTTTCAGATGACATTTTTATCAGTTGTATCAGTTTCGATGCCCAGTGAATTATGCACAAAGGGACTAAATTTCTGAGCTCAAAATCTTTTATTTAAATTAAAAGAGTGAGCTTCTACGTTTTGAACTAAGTGAAATCATCATTTGAACTGTGATTACAGAATTGTAGCAAAAGAAAAAATCCTTGTTGTCCTTCTTTCACAAATGTTTCGATCGCTTCTGTTTGAAGTGTGTCAAACGTCAAACGTGTTTTCGTGATTTCAGTTTCTAATGAGGAAAACATTGATCGCGGTTGGAATTTAAATACTTCCAATTTTTCGGAGAATAGGAAATATGAAACTTTTTCTTCTCTAGTATAACCCATATCAAGTGTTTTTGTATCGCAAATGGCGCAATGCTGCGTGTAGCCTCTGTTTACAATGTTGAAAATTACTTTAAAAGTCCGTGCTGCGGTAGCTACGACTTTTCAAAAAGCTTCTGAAATTAATGAACGCCTTTTTCTAATTTTCCTGGAGTTACACGTAATTGCGATTGAAGAGTTTTAGCTGAAACTTGTTTTTTTTTGGTTTATTGAACAGTCTCTGCTCAAAAAATGTATGCTTCTCATTTTGCTAGCCAGTCATAAAAAGACATGTGCAAGAATATCTTTAGAATCCTTGAGCGGGAAATATTGTTAGAATCCTTGACAAAAGGCTATCCTATGTCGTGAGAGTCTTTGAACAGAGGTCGGTCATGGTCAAACACTTGAGCATTCGTGATATAGAGGTTTATAGATGGGACTTGAAATGCCGAGAATAATTTATCTGAGATGCAATAAGTTTGTTCGAGTTTTTTGGTGTCCATTTTTTTTGGACTGCTGTATTTTCGTGTTTTTTTTATATCTGTTAAATTAAGTCAAATGTCAATTCGGAAGTTTCAGGGCAGTCATTTTTTGCGCATGGTTCGCATTTTTTCTTTTGTAAACCTATTCATTTTTTGGCTTCTTGCTATAACTTGTTAAGGTTTGTTGGTTTTTGCGGCTCATTTTCAACCTTTTGTCTGACCACCAGAACTTCTAAGTTTTCGATTTTTGCCTCAGTATAACCCGTTTTAGTTATTCAAATTTATTAACAATACAGCTCAACATTTTGATTTTACGTTTTGTTCTTGTAAAGATGTCAAAAATGAATATAACCTAAAAATTTTGCGACTTTATGGTTCCCGTTTCTTCTTTTTTGGATATTTT